ACTCTAGCAAAGTGTAGACTATTGGCTACAAGTACTCCAGCAGGTTCCCCAACGAGTCTAGCACTGGAGTTTCCTTCTTCGCACCTTCAGTAGAGGTCGTGTCGCCCGTCGGTTCCTTACCTGACCTCCTTCCGATGTCTGGCTGCGACCTCTCGAGTTGATAGCTCTCGGATTCGGTCTCTGACTCTTCAACCTGAATTTGCCTTCTCTTCTTCTTTGCCTGCTGAGCCGTTATCTTTAGCCTCGGGTGAACAGCCGATGGCTGGGAAGCCTTCGCAGGTCGGATTGGTGCGTCCTTAGAAGGTTGATGCTGAGAAGTTCCAACAGGTCGCACTAGGGGGCCCGATGTGGCAACTTCAGTCAGGGGATCGGTAGGAGCAGCATCGGCTCTGACACCTTTGGAGGCATGGTCGCTGCATGCAAGCATCGTTAGCAAAAGTAATTCATTGCACAACTAGAAAAGACCCAGTTAGCAAGACTTACTCAATGGGGGCTCTAAGGGCGCGTTTGCATTAAAGAAACCATATTTCCGCAGATTTGCGGTCGTCACGAGCTTTTTCGTGTCACGACTAGCTTCGGGCAGAAAGCCGAAAGCTACGATCCTATCCGTATCGAAGAGCAGCCCTAAGTCGGTCGTCTTATTAACTACCAGAAAAGAAACAAGTTGTTAGGAAAGGAATGCACTTCAAATTTAATGAATTCGCCAAAGGAAAAGAACCTACTCGGGTTCTGAAAGTGGCAATGGCTGTCATAACGAAAGAAGAAAAACTTCATTTCGTAGGCCCCGCGTTGCTAGGGTAGCTGTGTATCCTTTCGGCTATAGTAGGTCACCTAGACAAGTAATAAGAATCCTTGTCCTTGCTCTTTTTCAAGAAATACGAGCAACCGAGCTCCACAGCGGTTAGCTCGCCCAGCCCGTTCTCACGACACGCGATGTATATAGCAACAACAATAACATACGCGTTCGGCGTGAGTTGCATCGACGCTATCCCGAAGTGATCCAAGAACGACCTGACAAAAGAGTGGAAGGGGATCAACCCCTTACCCTTGATGCGTTCAGCGTGAGTTGCATCGGCGCTATCCTGAAGTGATCCAAGAACGACCTGACAAAAGAGTGGAAGGGGATCAACCCCCTACCCTTGATGATCTCCTCGGAGATCGTGGACATCCCATTTGATGGGTATCACGATGAGCGGGTCCTATCGTGGAAAACTTCCATGTTGATACTATACTGCTTTATCACCCTCTCGAGCTCTTTCCCGGTAAGTACCGAGTAGACCTTAGGAGTGACGCTCGGAGCACCCTGCAAGGACGAACCAGTTCCTTCCTCGAATCTGGTCGTTGAGGGGTCTATTATACTGGTCTACAAAAGCGACAAGCAGGGGGGTCATTTAGTCATCGTACGCTATTCCGTACGATGATGTGGAAGGAAGCAAACTCCCTAAAACCTAGAGAAAACCCTAACAGAATGATTCAAGCCGCCATTCATGGCTCGAACCCGACATGAGCGTCTCGTCTCCAATCAGCTATCGGAAGACTAACGCCATTTACCACTACGGGGAATAAGAAAATAAAAGCAAAGAACGATTATTACCTCTTGGAATACGAAAATGGCTCCTTCTGCTCCAAATATCATAAACACGCTGGTTTGGAAAGCAAAGACTCCAAGCTTGCGAAAGTCTCTAGCTCTCTCTGAAAAAGACGAGTGTAGTGACATTGCCTGAGGTGGATCTGAGTTTTTATAGCAAAGGAAACGACGCTTGGTTTTCTCGAAATCAAAACGATGTTTGAGCGGAAAAATGTCTCACCGTTGATCACGACCACGTATCGCAAATCAGTGAGAAAGAGTGAACATCACAATTGAAGAAAACCAAACCTTCATCCTTTTCCATTGAAAAACTCAAGCGATGGCACTCTCTCCCTCAACATTAATTGTGCCCCAATCTGCATTTAATGCTCTGATAAGGGGTGTCGTTTCAGCATATCATGCATTTAATGTTCTGATAAAGGGTATCGTGTCAGTATGCCATGCATTTAATGCGCCTGATTGGCACTTATTACGCACAGGACACGTTTGTCAGAGCAGAGGCTGTTTCATTAAATGCATCCATATCGAAAGCACAACAGATAACGCCTGACGAAGTCAGGTCGCTCATCCTTAACAAGCAAGGACCATGCGAGGTCGTGTTCATAAAAAGCGCTACCCCGACCTATTCTCATATAGGTCGTAATCACCAGAACTTCCCGAAAGCATCCAGTCGCGGCATAAATTGTAGTTTCCAATGTTCAATCCTCAAACCTTAAAAACTACGGGACTTCTGTTATGCCTAAAGAATGCAAAGCTGACGTAAGGTCCAGTCAGCATGCAAAAGTCAAAGCATGGGTGCACCCGCAGCTGAGTCACGTGAGGAAAGGAGCAGCATGCTTTTGTCAGAATAGTGGGTGTGCGCCAGACCAGCCAGAAGTTGTGGTGATCCCACGTGTCCAATCCCTGCTCCAAATCGCGTAAATCACTCTAAAAGGTGGGCAACGTGACATAAAGAAGGATTTGCATAGATAATCTCACCAACTCACAGATTCAGTAATGATAACCTTAATCCATCCTACTGTAAATTGAGAGCTCCTCTCTCATTTAAGGGATTGGCTACTCTCTCTCTATAATATATAGCATTCACTTTCTTGTACTATCATTTGTAAGTCAGTCCGCCAACGCGACCTGACCTCTATCATTAATACAAACATCAGTGGACGTAGGACTTGCTTCCTTAGCATCCGAACCACTTTAAAAGTTGTTCCCATTGCATTTACTCTCATTTTTCTTGCATTCACGTGTGTCTTCTGAGTCAGCTCAGTATTTCACACGTGCGTTTCGTTGGTGTCAAAATCACGCATCAACACAACCAAAGACATTTGAAGAACATGTAGATAGAATGGGTCTTGGTTATAATAATTGATGCATTGACACTCTGAGCTCAATAATTTGTATTTTATATATATATATATATATATATATATATATATATATATCTATATATTCCTATTTCTTGTATTGATGTATACATAATTGACAAAGAAATGGATAGTCTTTTAAGACATAATCGTGGACCATTATGTTTATATAACTTATAGACTGAGTATAATGAACGACTATTTGTCATGGTGCATGGAAGGAAATATGTTACATGAACAACATACAATTGCTATGACTCACATTTAGTAGTTTGTTATGCTAAGGTGATTATGATGGGCATAAAGAAAGGTTTAATTATTATTGCATGCTTGATGTTATATCATTAATCACTTATATTGGTTTATCAGATGAGCCAAGTGGGAGACTAGAACCAGTTTTATATATAAAGAATAACAATTAATCTGATACATCCATCAAGTATCCATCCAATGGTTAGGATTCATTATTCAATAACCACATGTAACAGTCAAATTTATTTGCACATATAACTAATAAAAAATTATTGCACATGTAACCGACAAATTTAAAACAATTAGTAATTATCAACATTTGAATTGAACTCAAATTAGTGGACAATTATGAGCCACTTCCAACAATCGAACCCAGTTTTGACATTCATGTCTCTATTTTGACAAGAATAGTAATTTGTCATTCTTTTATTTTTGGATTGTTGTTGCTTTGATCTTCGAGTTGAGCTAGTGAGGTATGTTATTTGTCAAGAATACCTTATTCAGACTGATGATATGGCGTCCAGTTTGTTTCTTGGTTCATGCTTTGTGTTGTGGTTCAAGGTTCAATGTTTTTGTTGATATCAGTAGCTTTACTAGGGTTTCGCTTGTCAGATATTGTTATTAATGCACATCGGTTCTCACTTGTGATTTCTGCAGCTTATCGTTTGTGTAATCCTTTTCGGGTTCTTCCAAAATTGGCTCCAATAACTTAGCTTTGGATGATCTGATGGAAGGTTTGTAGCTTCTGTTGCGACATGGCAAGAAATTTGAAGTATCGAGCTTTGTGTATGAGCGCATCGCTGTCAAAATGTGTAAATTTGGGTAGGTTTTAGTGAATCGGATCCTACCTGAAATTTTTTTTGAGCCTTCAGCTCAAATTAATAAAGTTGTATTGATTTGTATCGATATTTTTAAAGATACAAACTGATACGTATTATATCATAGAATACATATCAATATATCGAAAGGTTTAGGATAAACTTTCTAATACACATCGTTGGTGACTCGTATCGAATTGATATGTATCGCATATCGTAGTATACTAATAATTCCATATGAGAGTACTCTTGTTGCTGGGTTGACCAGAATAACGAGTTTTACTGCCCAGCTGCCTAGAAAAGCTTTTATGAATATCTGGGTACTGTTCAGCGATGTGGTGCTAGGTCATTTTTTTTTCAAATTTACATATTAATTTTTGTAGTACATAGATTACAGATTTAAAATCAATGTTGAGACAAAGTATTGGTCATTTTACTCCTATTAAGGTTATAAATTAAAGGTCGAACGACTTCCACCTACGCAAAGTTTGGCATAAAGATAGATTGATACCAAAAGATTTGAAAATGACAAACAAATACTTTCTGTCATATTCTGTTAGAGATTTTTGTCTGCTAAAAAACAGTATAGTAATTTCATTCTCACCCCAAGCCTGTTTGCACAGTCCTCTTACATCATCGATTGATTTTTTGATCAGATATAGCATTTTTCTGTGAAGTTCGGTGATAAACAGTGGCATTAGCCCTTGCTGGCGCACTTTGGGAATGGAGATTGGTGGGTATTCCAATCTTTTCACCATTTTTGCCTTTTAGCAAATGAAAATTCCTAATAGAATATGATAAAAAATGGGTATTTGTTATTTTCAAACTTTTTGGGTACCACTTTGTCTTTACAACAAACTTTGGGTATGTATAGTCGTTCCCCCTAAATTAAAAGAATAAAGATTAATTTTATTAAAAAGTTACCGCCACGACATTTCTTCGAACCTTCGTTCTGATTTAAAAATGCAGACACAGAGACTATTAAAAAAAAAAAAATTCCATCTGCCGTAATTTCACTTTATCTCAAACGTGAAAACCGGAAAGGTACGACGGCAGCTTCTCGAAATAAGGCACATGTGATCCTCGTTCATCTGTAAGGTAACAATTTTCTAGTTTTTCCATTTTTGACATTTGTTTCCTTATTTGATTTAGATGAAGTTTATTTATTTATTTACTTAGTTTTTTGGTATGCATTGAATTTGGTTTTCAAGCATTAGAGGGCTCCAACTCGTTCTTAAAAAAAAAAAATTTCCATCTGACGTAATTTCACTTTATCTCAAACATGAAAACCGGAAAAGTACGACAGCAGCTTCTCCAAATAAGGCACATGAGATCCTCGTTCATCTGTAAGGTAACAATTTTCTAGTTTTTCCATTTTTGAAACGTAACTAGTTTTTATTTACTTGTAGTTTGCTACAAAGCATTTGTTTCCTGATTTGATTTAGATCAAGTTTATTTATTTATTTACTTAGTTTTTTGGTATGCTTTGAATTTGGTTTTCAAGCATTAGAGGGCTCCAGCTCGTTCTTTATTTGTTAAACATATTGGTGTTTATGGGGTTTTTATTAATTATTATATACCCCGCATGAGAGATTAGGAAGCATTGAATATACCCAAGGTTTTGTGAACCTCCCTAGATTCACTCACCCGTTTAAAATTATCATTTACGCCATCGAGATTATCATTTATCTTTATAATAAAGTGTTAAAAACTCCCTGATAGTGTGGGATATATTAATAGTTTTCAGAAACCACGGGCGCGTTTATACTTCCTCATCTCTCAAGGGGCTGAGTAATAAAAAACCCTTTGTAGAAATTTGGTAACTAGCGAATCAGATCATCTGCTCTTGGTTGAATGATGTTGAGTTTTGTAATGGCAAAAATCTACAAATCGATGTTAAAAAAGAAAATAAGTCAAACTATGGTTTTGTATATATTATAAAATTGGAAAATATAATAATGAAGAACTCAATAATATATGTTATACTATAATGACCATTGGATAACTCTAATTGCCCTATAATAACTATTAGATAGCTCCAACAGTTTATTACAGTAATCAGTTAATCATCACGGAAGTAACCCAACAACATAAGAATTTAAGAATTTCCATTACCATAATGTTTTCTGGAGTTACTTTATCGGTTGATAATTGAATATTGAGTGGTTATATGTATTGTTGGAAAACATACCAAATTAATTATGAATGTGTCAATTGAGACATAATATCAACTTCTATGACATGTATTTGTCTCATAATTGGTTGATTGTATACTGAATCTTACTGATAAATACTTTGGACTGTTAGATTAAACAACATTGGAAACGTGTGCCTGCGATATTTTATCTCCTGATAGAGGCAGCATCATTGGTATTAAATTTTATTGATAAAGGCCAGCTGAGTTTTCGTGTTGCTTCATTAATCTTAGCAACATTTGCTTTTGGGATGACAATCGGTGTTTGTTTTCTGGAAAGAAACATTTTAGTGGCTGACAGGCAAATTGGATTCATGGACCTTGCCTCCTCCGGAATCCAGTTTATTGGTACACTTCTGACAGCTTTCGGTGTCAAGAATTTCAACAATTATGATGTATCAGTTTTGCTGCTACTCAATGCTACAATAGCTGCTGTGTTCATGTTCTTAAAGGATGAAAAAGCTTTTGATCACTCAACTTTTGAGGATCAGATGTTTTCAGACATGGAGGAGCAATTTCCTGTGAATCCTTATGGACCTTATCAGATTTCAGGAAGGGAGGTATGGACGTGAAAATTTGCATATATTGTTTGAATAATGAAGAATTCAAAATCTTCAATAGAGATTTTCATGAGAAATTGATGAAGAACAGGGATGTTTGGTTGCAGTGAAAATGAGAAAGCACATCGGAGAGAAAATTTCTATATCTTACTCATTAGCTGTCCAAAATCATGTCTTCACAAATCTATCATTGCCTCCCCTTTATATATGTACATTTTGAGGGGAACAGTTTTACCTATTTTTCATATCACACTTTTTTCAGCTCACCGATCTTCTTCCCATAACATTCCCTTTTAGTTATTTCTGTATACTCCGGTAGCTTTTCCTCCTCCGGCTCCTTTATCCGTTGTGCTGCTATCTTCTAATCAGATCTGCTTCTCTTTTACCTCTAGCTGGAAGATATTCTTTGGAGGATTCTTTGCATACAATTTTCAAGTTCTACACTAAGTCCCAGCCTTCTAATCTGTCTTTAGGCAATGATTTTTGACAGCTTATCTTATTTTTTGAATTTCGAATTTCGAATTATATTCTTCAAATCGTTATTTCTTATCTCTTCATTTACTTCGGCGTTTCTGAATTTACTGCACCATTTGTTTAATCATTTTCTAATGATTCAGGACTTTCATCTGAGACCCCCTGGAGGTGATCCTGATCCTTTGAGGACTTCAGATAGTAGTATTATACCTGACAATGTTGCTCAAACGCTTGACCCCTCAAGAAATGGAACTCGCTGGACTCAAATGGATCCTGAATTGATGTCTTCTTCTGAGAGTTCTAAAGCATCTCAGGTAAATTTTTCCTTATTCTACCCTTTTTACTAATTATATTCATTATCACAATTTACTTAACTCTTGACTTGATTCTTTATTTTTGTTTTTGCTTTTCTTCGTCCTTGATTCCTTTAGACTGCTGTTTTGGTCAACAATGGTCCCTCATCTTCAGTCGGTGCTCCTAGTGATTTGCTGTTGTGTAAATCTGTGGAAGATTTACGATCTACTGTTCAGTCTTTGGAATCTGAGAAAGTAGGTGCTGCTTCGGTTGGCTCGAATAATTCTTTCTTGGAAGCTGATGCTGAAAAGGACCGTTTGATTTCTTTGGTCCAAAATCAGGAATTAACTATCAAGAATCAATCTGCGGAAATTGAAGCACTGCAATCTGATATTTCTAAACATAAGTCTTTAGTCAATCAGCAAAGACGCGAGATTGATGATCTTAACTCTCGATTAGATGCCCTTGGTAAGTCCCTTTCTTCAAGTCAACAAGATAAACCTTTGACTAACAAATCTTTGCAGGATACCCCTTCCACTCTTGAGGCCAAAGACAAGCTTCTTAGGGATAAAGATAAGCGGATCCAGCTTTTGAAAGAAAAAGATTCTTTGAACGAATCCAGCCTTGCGGTTCAAACATTTAAAGATCAATCCAAGACCCTCAAGCAGGAACTTTCTTCAGCGAATACCATGGTTTCTAAATCGAGAGAATGTAAAGTGTGCTGTACTGAGAGAGATGGTCTTATTGCTAAATTTCAGGCATCCGATTCTTATAATTCCAGCATCATTGATGCAACTGCTGCCCCTGATCAGAAGCTTAACAGAGATCTTCAACATGTTCGTGATGAGTTTCAAGTTTCTGGGGATCAAGTGAAAGCTGCTGGTACTTTTGTTCCAGAATCTTCAGAGGGTCATGATGCCTCGGGAGGTAACAACAGCTAAGAAGAAGAAGTTTCTTCTATAGAATCCAAAGGTGCTGCTGCTCCAACAAACTCTACTTGTGTTCTTTACCTTTAGGATGCTTTTTGTTTTAGTGGACGTTGCTCTTTGAAGACCCCTTTACTTGAGTCTTTATTATCTCTTTTGGGCATATTTCCTTGTAATTTAATCTTTATATATGGTTTATGGAATGCTTCAGATAAGAGTATTACATGAGTTATTTTATTCCCTTTTCCTTTATTTACTGTATAATGAACCTCCATTCTTTTCATACCATCATCTTATGTTTTACTTTGAATTTATTATATCTAACATTATTAATAAAAATAAATTCACTTGAATATCACTCCGTACGACTTGTGACCAAACCACCCAATAGAAATCAAAAGAGCCTTTGGCAGGCTTGGATCAGATCAAGGGACAATCATCCCACGGCTGTCATTCGCCCAGTAAATATTACTGGGAAGGTAACAATATATCCCCCTCAAACAGCATTGATCAGTTCTGTTCTGTATTTGCGTTACAACAAATGTTTTTTTGGCAGCAAACTTGTATGCTCAGTATGTCGTTAGTAAAATCTGATCCTGAGATGTAATTCTGGAATGCTCAGATTTGATGACTCTACATTTTGATGAAGGGAAGTAATATTCTATATGGGGTTCTGTTTTCGAATAGCTGGCCTTTGCTTGTACTGTTCATGCTATAATTTGTAAATGCCGTGATAATATAGAATAGAATCGAACCACAATAAAGATGCACGTGAAGAAACAGCATTTATATGCCTCACCTCTTTTGATGTTATTTTTCTAGAAGTGGAATGTAGATGAATCCTTTTTGAGAATTTGAATCTTACAATATCTGGAAGTCAAAACTTCAAACTTCTTGGCTTTTGTTAAACATTATGGTTGATCTTTGAATCATTAAATATAAATTTCTATGTTGTTTGTCAGTCCTGTTTGGGTTCACTACTGAACCTATTTGATGAGGCCTCTGGCAATTACCCAAGGAGAAAGTAGCAAGAGAAGAGGGGAGTAAACCTTTGATTGAGCGCATCTCTAGACAGGTTGATAATATCAATTGGCTACTAGAAATCCTGCTTGATCGGCAGATGGGAGAAGAATTTGTGGATTTGTGGGCAGATCAAGGGAAACTACTTAAATTGCATGAGAATGCATCTCCAATGATTAGGTATGAGCTAAGCCGGGTTTCAGCAAATTTGTTTATTGCAATGGGGACGCGGAAACTGCACTGCCCATGGGAAGCAAGATCAGCGCTTTTTCAAGCGTGGTTTGGCCCTATGCTATCAGACTTTGGTTGGCTGCAGAGATGCAAAAAAGGGCTCGAAATGAAGACCTTAGAGGAAGCAATGGGTCAGACACTGCTTACACTTCCAGTAAAGCAGCAGTACGTGTTGTTTATGGAATGGTTCCGGTGTTTCTCCAAGCACGGTACTGAATGCCCCAACCTCAGCAAATCCTTCCAGATTTGGTGGCGAAGATCATTTCTACGAGGCTCAGAAACCAACACTGTTGAATCAAGGTAATCTGTAGTGTTGATCATAATTGTATTTTTCTGTAACGTCCCACTGGCATATAGCTTAAAGAGATTCTAAAACATCTGGTTGAGTCGTCAATAATGTAGATCAACTATGTAGAATTGTTATAAGAGGTATTAAAGCATAAAAATGGCTTTGATTTTCGGGTGAGCTACCGTGTTCATTTCAGATTATGATCATCATCAAAACAAAGTGGGGTTTTGCTAAAGATTACAACTAAGTTGAAGTGCAGATCAATAACATATAAGAGAAATGCTAACAATAGTTGTTAATTTACTATTATAACACTTGTTTTTCCAATAATTTAGTCTTTTTAAGTATGGATTGTCATCTGTATGTTTATCCAACCAAATTTTATTACAAATACATTTACTTGGATCATATCCAACTAATTCATTTGTGATAAATGTATAGATGATGTGGTATTTTATTTTGTAAAACGTAATATATGGGCTTGTCATATGTTTGTTTTAGAAAGATACCATATGATAGACCGAGCCCATCAAACATACGAAAAACAAAATCATAATATTTAAATTAAAAAATAAAAAACTTATAAAACTAAAAGCCGAGGCCAATCCCCTCCTAAGTCCTATCAGTACAAAAATTTCCTAAAATATTTTTTTTATATTTGCAATTTTAGTGTCTTGGACTAAGAACTTGTATTGTTTTTATATTAATGTCAATTCATCAACTTCTAATTATTGGATTGCAATGCAATGAATGATTGGTTATAAATTCAAATATAAATATTTAAGGTATTTTAATTTAATCCCGAAATTTTTTTAATTTTTATTTAAAATTTAAAAAAAAAAATTCTTCTATTGGTCATATTCATCGTATCAAATACGGTTTGATTTGGGTAGTATTTTTTATTCTTTTAAATTGTGTGAACACCTTGAGGTAAGGTTAAAATTATACTTTCTATTCCACTAGTAACAAAGGATATTTTAATTTAGAGTATAAAGACATGGGATGTTAAAGGTTTGATATAATAACAAAAATTATTTTAAAGCTTTTGAAATAATAAAATTCATTTTAGCATTAGTAAGTCGTTGGAATATACATTATTTTAAGTTTATAAATATGGGTTAAAATACTGCAACTTAAAATTTTGACTCAATTTTAAACATTTCTTATTAGTCATTTATTTTTTAAAAATCGTACTAAGCAAAGAGAGAAGTTAAAAAAAGTTATATTTAATGTCAATTCAATTCAAACATCTTAAAACACTGATGAATAAATAAAGACGGTTCGTTTACAGTAATACTATATTCACTAACTTTCTCTCACAAACACGATGTGTCAATTCATAATTGGTCAACTCGTAATGGGTGCTATCTATCGAACTAACAAATTACTTGTCAGATCAATATTTGTGAGAGAAAATTACGAAAAGTGTTTTCCAACTTATCTTTATTCCTTTCAAAACAATGTAAAACAATTTGTCACAATGTAGAACCCTTTGTTTATTTACCAAATTGCTTTCATTAATTCTTTTATTTATCCACTTCCATTATTACAAAATTGTAGATATATTATGTTATATTATTATTATGAATTTTGCTTTGAATTTATGTTGGTAGTATATTCTCCCATCAATCAAATAATTGAGAATCAAATGTTGAAAATTGGGGCTGAAATTGTCCCCTTATCGCCACCCATTTTTGTTTCTTCAACACAGAATCTCTCCTCTAATTATCCGACACCTGGCAACACTGACAGCATTTCATTTATGTTAGCATGCATGTTATGTGATGCTCTTGGCCCCACTTTCTCTGATATAAATCTGACACGCCATCTCCATTCTTTCATTTCTAACTCCCTTTTTCTTTTCTTTTTCCCCTCCTTTTTATTTATTACGATCACAGCCATCACTTTTCCCTTCAATTTCGAAAAACTAACACTCTCACCCCCAAATAGCGTTCTGTCAGCCACAAGAGTTGGCTTAGATCAGTTCGATTTCGTATAGCTAATTTCGATGAACTCTCCCTTCATTTTCAAAACAAAAATACTAAATTTATAATTCAATCTCATAATATTCTCTTACAATCATAACGCAACAGCATAATTAGTATTATCATGTCAACTAACGACTTTGTTATTTAGAGATGAATAGTCGTTCCTTAGGGACAAACTACCGTTCATTCATAAGGAATTCATAAAGAATGAATATTCCATTTATAAGGAATGATTGTTCGTTTATAAAAAACATATAATCCTTATGTAGGAACGATCGTTCGTCTTTAAAAAACGACCGTTCATGTTTAGTCAAAGTCATTTAGTGTCTTAGGTGTGGTGAGAACTAACGTAACAATTGTCAACTCAACTGTCACGTTAGAGTTGTAAGAGAATATTGTGAGATTGGGTCGTAAACATAATATTATTCATTTAAAAAAACGAACATTTTCATCCCCAATGACATTTTTGTCATTGAATATAACTAAGGTTTAATGAGTAGATCAGATATTTTGAATGAAAGGTTGATAATTTAAACAACCACTACTTAAAGTTTAAGCTCAATAATTGACTGTTTTGGCCAAAATGGCTGGTAAATTTGAATAGCCGGCTACTTATTTTCATATTGTTACATTTTTATTATATGTAAAAATGGTCAACAATTTATTCAAATGTCCTTTCTATCTCTTATATAGTTATATTTAACAGATAAAACCTTCATTTAGGGTGACAATGTTAATTTCACATAATAAAAAATTTGATTAAATTCATAAATATTAAAATAAGTTTTGTATAAATTAATTTGATGTATAATAAATAAAAAGATTAAAGTTTAAACTTTTTTCAAAGTAAGTTTCTCTACTGAGTTCTCATAAGTTTTAATGTCACGTGTACAATAATAAGCATGTGTGGTAGAATCTTTTTTTTTCTTTTTTTGTTAACCACTAATAATAATATTTCTATTTTACTAAAAAAAGAAAAATAGATCGAGAAAACCAGTCAACATTTTTATACGAATTTTTTTTTTTTGAAAAATGTATTTATATATTTCCTCATTAAATAAATTACCAACTATAATAATAATAATTAATAATAATAATAATTAATAACAATAATAATAATTATTATTAGGTAGTTATATTTGCCATATCATAACAAATTAACAATAATATATATAGGGCATGTTTGTTCTAATTAAGACTTTTGTCTTTTTTCTATTTGCAATGTTTAAATTTGTTGTAATTTGCAAATATCCTTCATTATTTTTGTTCTTTATGTCAAAAAAAAAAAAAAAAAAAGAATAGAGAGAGAAAATTAATTGAGATTATTTTAATTATTTAATTATATTTATATCTTTTTTATAATATTACTTTGTCAAAAAGGGTTTGTAGAAAATTGACTCCTATTTTTATACAATTTGTTTTTCTCTCTTTCAAAGTTCTAAAATAATCTAATCCAAAATGGTCCACTTTTAATTTATAATTTCAAAATTATCTTATTTTTAGAAAGTTATTTTTATATATTTCAATTTTAATTTATAATTTCAAAATTTTAGAATAAATTATTTTCTCATATGAATTTTCGGGTTGACTGAGTTTGTTTAAAATTCAGTACTACGTTATAAAAAGTAAAAAAGAAATAAAGAAAAAAGATATAACTTTCTGAGTGTTGTTATAATAGTAACAACTTTATTCACATAGACCTTTTCTAACGTGAAACCTTTTTATTTATTACATATTATGGGTAGTAAGGTTAAAGTAACTTCGAATTTCAATATAGAATTGTCGACAGAAATTTAAATCTAAAATTATTGATATGTTATAATTTAATGATTTTTGAAGGGGAGTTTAAAAGATAATTATTTTAATATCAACTATTACAGGTGACTTGATGGTAAAAGAGTAAAAGAAAGCTTATGAGCTCCTAAACACTAATAAGGGTAGTCATTAGAGCTCTTACTTGACTGACAGTTCTAAGACCCCAATGATTAATTAAAATGTACGCAAGTTGGTTCAAACACACTCGATGATTAAAAAATATATATATATTTTAATATCAACTAAGTACAATTGAAAAGTAAATATTAACACCTCCGTTTGGTTGGTTTTTTGGAATATTATTATTAGTATTCCAAAAAAAGTTAAACAATAAAATGCTAAAAAACTTACCATATTATTCAACTTTTTTCAAACCCTCTAAATTTATTAATTTAATTAAGTATCCCTAAATATTTTTTTTGAAATTGCAAAAACACCCATAAACCCACATTATACCAGATTCCGGCCACCACTGCTGGAAGTTGGCCGGAATCTAATATAATGGTGCACTACCGGCTGCATCTGGTCGGTAGGGCACCAATCTAGTCTTTTCCGGCCAAATCCGCGGTGGATCTGGCCGAAAAAGGCTAGATCTAAGGCCAAAGATCGGGCCATTGACGACCAAATCTTTGGCCGAAACCGGACGTCAACTACAGCTAACATATGGTCGTCGTTGACCATTAACGATGACCGTATCTTTGGCTGTCGTTGATGAGCAAATGCGACTAGATCTAGCCATTAAGTAGATCTGGCCTTTGCCAGCCAGATCCACCGTCAGATCTAGCCATAGATCTGGCCGACAAAGGCCATATCGACACACGACCGGCAAGATCTAGCTGGTCATGCGCCGATATTACATTACCCATGCATTTATTCAAAACTAACTAATTATAATGAAAAAAAAAAATATATGACAAAATATTATTAAATAAAAATAATACGATTGTCCTATCCTTAAAGTTTTGACCAGACAAACAAACGTACTAGATATCAACTATTAAACACGCACCTATTAATTTTCTTCACTATAACATATAGATATATAGAGTCTTATATTAAACATGAGAACCTATTATAGGGACTATTAAACATTTACATAATTATAATATACTTATTAATAAAAAACTATAAAATAAAAAATATAATTTAACGTTTTCATGATGCAAAGATACAGAGATGACAGTAAATCCATCCTACCATGGATATTTAGGCATAAAACAAAGAAGAGAAAATTTATGGAAAATCAAAATTCAATTCAATCCAAAGGATATTTGACGTCCGCAAGGACAAAACTCAATAACAGTGAGCCAGCAAAACCATTACTCTCTCTCTCTCATCTTTCTGAATTAATAAATATAAATACACAAAGTACAGAGAAGGCAACAAAACAAGAAGCTTAGTACTATCAAGTATCAACTGAAGCAAAAAGCGAAAAAGAAACCAGTAAAACAATAAAATATTGGTGCCTAGAGAGAGCTCAATTTCCACCATGTTTCAAGATTGAAGAAGAAACCTACCATTTTTTATTATTATAAATTTAATATTTTAATCAATTTAATTTATTACCAAAGAATCATTTATTTGAGCGCAGCAGGACCAGACGAGTCTTACTAATAAATATGCATATGGGTTTTCGGTTTTGTTTCGTCTTGCTTCTTTAGGATCATAAATCTTTGTCAAGATTCTCAAGCTAGCCGCGCTTTGTAAGTACTCTTCACTCGCTTTCTTTCTATTTCTGAATTGGGTTCTTTCTTTTTGCTTAAAAAAGTTATTTTTTTGGGGGTTTTTTGGAGTTAGATTTTGGGTTCTGTTTTGTGTGGAATTGGTGAATTTGGTTGGTGGAATGAAGGTTTTGTTTGTGTGGTGTTTATTTGGTTTCTGGGTTTGTGAATGTGGTGGTGTTTTGTGAGTTTTTAGGTGTTTTATTTTGGTTTTTGGTGAAATTTTGTTCTGTTTGGTTGCTGAGAAAGTGGGGGAAAGCGAAGGAAAATTTTGAATTTTTAAGCTTTTTCATTTTTGTTGTTGAAAATTTTGAAAAGGGATGTGAAACTCTATCGGGTTGTCTCAGGCTGAGTTGTTTGAAGGGTTCACTGTTATGTAAAGTTTGTGTCCAGACTGAAGGGAAGATTTTTTTTGTTTTCTGCATTTTCTTGGCAAACAATCGGACCCAGTTTTGACATTCCTGCCTCTATTTTGACAAGAATAGTAGTTTGTCATTCTTTTATTTTTGGATTGTTGTTGCTTTGAACTTCGAGTTGAGCTAGTGAGGTATGTTATTTGTGAAGAATACCTTATTCAGACTGATGATATGGCTTCAAGTTTGTTTCTTGGTTCATGCTTTGTGTTGTGGTTCAAGGTTCAATTTTGTTGTTGATATAAGTAGCTTTACTAGGGTTTCGCTTATCAGATATTGTTATTAATGCACATCGGTTCTCACTTGTAATTGCTGCAGCTTATCGTTTGTGTACTCCTTTTCGGGTTGTTCGAAAATTGGCTCCAATAAATTAGTTTCGGATGATCCAATGGAAGGTTTGTAGCTTCTGTTGCGACATGGCAAGAAATTTGAAGTATTGAGCTTTGTGTATGAGATTACTCTTGTTGCTGGGTTGACCAGAATATCAAGTTTTACTGCCAAGCTGCCTAGAAAAGCTTTTATGAATATCTGGGTACTGTTCAGCTATGTGGTGCTAGGTCATTTTTGGTGAATAGGTTTAGTTCTGTTTTCCGCAATATGGGTCCATCAGGAACTCCAGTCGGCAGTTCCCAATCTGTTTCATCTGCAGTTCTGCAAACAAACTCTGCCATTTTGGGGTCACAACGAGGTCCAGTGGCTCCTCAAGCCACATTTTCTTCAGTTATTTCTCCAAGAGCTCCGTATAATATGAACTTGCTTGGGAATAATGCCAACATTTCCGCACTTCTCAATCAGACTTTTGGGAATGGTGCTAAAAACACAGGTCCATCTGGGTTAAGTGGTTTCCACCGCGGAAATACTGATGCTATGTCTGACTCTAATTCCCTTTCTGTTGTATCAACTGATGTTGGCTTTAGTGCTTCGCGATCATCAATTGTGGCACCAAACATGGCAAATTCTGGTTCATCTGGCCAAGTTCAAAACCAGCAAATGCCAAATTCTTCTGGAAACATGATGTTTTTGGATCAGCAGCAGTCTCAAGTTCAAAAGTTTGAGCAACAAAATTTGCAGCACGCCCAGCAGTTGATGCAGCAGTTCCCTGTGTCACATGGCCAGCCACAACCACAACAGCGCCATATCCAATCTAATCGTGGAGGATTCGCTGGCATGAACTCTATCAAGCTGGAGTCACAGACAATGAATGATCAGATTGGCCCACATCAATCGTTGCATTCTTTTCGGAATTCTGGCCCAGTGAAGTTAGAGCTGCAACAAAACCAGATTGGAAAAGGCATAGGACCTGTCAAACTGGAACCACATCTTGACCAAGCAATGCTTTTGCAGCAGCCGCAACACCACCAACAGCAGCAGCAGCAACAACAACAGCTGCAACAGCAACAACAACAGCAGCAGCAGCAACAATATCAAGAGCAGCCGTTCCCCCACCTATCAGGGCAGTCTTCTCAACCTGCCATTCCACAGATAAATCTTCTGCAACAACAGCGCGTTTTGCAAATGCAACAACAGCAGCAGCAGCAACAGCTGTTGAAGGCTCTTCCTCAGCAACGCCCCCAACTACAACAGCAGTTTCAACAGCATAATTTGCCTAGTAGATCTACCAAACCGGTTTATGAACCGGGAATGTGTGCTAGGCGTTTGACTCAATATATGTATCAGCAGCAGCAGAGACCTGATGTAAAATTCTCTCATTCTGCTGATGAAAACTTTTGTCTACTGATGTTTTAGTAATCTGATTGTCATTTTGATGCTTTCTACAGGATAACAATATTGAGTTCTGGCGGAAATTTGTTGCTGATTTTTTTGCCCCCAATGCTAGAAAAAGATGGTGTGTGTCATTGTATGGAAATAACCGCCAAACTAATGGTGTTTTCCCTCAGGTATGCTATTTTAACATAGCACAAACAAAAATGTGCTTTTTGTGAAAGCCCAATTGCTTTGTAACTAACAGAAAGAAAGGCTGGTATTTGGCCACATGGTTGGGAATATTTTCTTTGCTAAATCATCTAACTTTTGCATGTGAACCTTTTTTGTTCACTATCTATTCATTTGCCCCTATATTTTTATTTTTTTATTTTTCCCTTAAAAAGTATGGCTTATTATCAGTGTGAGAGAGCTAATTGCAGTTTATGCAGGATACATGGCACTGTGAAATTTGCAACCAGAAGGCAGGTCGTGGTTTTGGTATGTTATTTCTATGTAATCTTAAATACGTTGTCATTTTCTCCCTGTTTTCAACAGCATTATAATAAATTGTAAAGGGAGGATGAAAATGATCTGATGATTTACAGTTAAGAATTCAAAATGAATTAAGAATGTTCTTCTAGTGAGCAAGTTCATTTGGTTTCATTCAATCTTTTGGAAACTTAATATTAATTGCAATCCTGTAAGGAAAAGGAAAAGATAAACATTAACAAATCAAATTGGCTGAATATGAGCTGTGTAGAAGTTGAAGTAATGACATCTCTCTTGTTTTGCTTTATTGAAATTGAAATGCAATTAATTGTCAATTTTTTTCTATTCAAATCTTGTTTATATGGTAATTTCAGAGACAACTGTTGAGGTTTTGCCAAGGTTATTGAAAGTCAAGTATGACAGTGGCACTTTGGAAGAACTTCTCTATGTTGATATGCCTCGTGAATATCAGAATGCAATGGGTCAAATTGTACTTGACTATGCCAAAGCAATACAAGAAAGTGTTTTTGAGCACCTTCGTGTAGTACGTGATGGTCAACTTCGTATTGTTTTTTCTCCAGATCTTAAGGTTGAGAGTTAGTGAATGCCCTCTGCTATAGGAAATTTATACTTGTGGACGTGTTGCTGATGAAGCATTTATTTTATATTACTTTTATTCATCTTTTTCAGATTTGCTCTTGGGAATTTTGTGCACGGCGTCATGAGGAGCTTATCCCTCGAAGATTGATTGTACCACAGGTTAAATTCTAATTCCTTTGTTTTATATTATATATCATATTTTTCACTTGGAAGGCTTTAAAGACTTTGTTTAATTGTATTAACTAGACCCAGACAAGTCTTCATGTTATATTGACAAAATTAGTGATACGGATTCTTTTATTTCTTTAGTTGAACTAGTCTGTCGCTTGTTCTGGATATCTCTTCTGGCTTGCTCACTAGTCTTTTAAGTATTTTAAACTATCTCTGTCCATTTGGATATAAATCTTCCATTCTTAGGTATGTCATTTATCCTTTAGGTTGTAAGGTGGTATTGTAGATTTTGACTGCTGGCATTTTATACTCATATATGGGGCCACTTGATTCAAGTTAACTTCTTCCAGGTAAGTCAACTTGGGGCTGCGGCACAAAAGTACCAAGCTTCTGCTCAGAGTGGAGCCAATTCATCTACACCTGATTTACTAAATAACTGTAACACGTGAGTTATTTGCTTTTGAAATTTGATGTATTATTTCCTGCTTTGTATGTTGAATGCTGTATGGCTATTTACATGCTTCATTTATATGTTTTTGGGTACTATTTTCAACATCCCGATTCTTAAACAATGTTGGATAATTAATTGTTCCTTGTGATGCCTCTTTCTCTATTGTGTGTGCGAATATACATTCATTTTGGTACTCGAGAACATGTGCTGTATGGTAATCAGTACTGTGAGCAGTTGAAATAGCCAATTAAGATTGTGCAACTTTAACACTTTGGCTTTTTGAGGTTGGCCTTTTGAGTATGTTGTTTTGCTATTTTATTTGGCTAGCATTCAGTTTCTTGGGTATTTTGACAGTACTTTTAACTCTCAATTCAATGCTTCCTCCTTAATTGGAAGTATAGGAGATACTTAAGGAGATAAATATGGGTAGCATGCAGAATAAATTTTTTAAACCACCTTAGATTCAACGTTTCAGAGGATTTCTGTGATTTTTGTTTCATCTTTCTTCAAAACTGCTGCTTCTCGAGATGGGTAGACATAGATATGCAAATCGCCAACACATGTTTTGCTAAGCCTTCTCCATTCCATGGTCTTGTCTTACATTCGCACAGCAATATAATCTTTATAATTATGAGGTAGCTTGCATGTTTGTGTTTCGTGTGGTTATGAGATGTATGACATGTGTGAGTGTCTAGAAATTCCAAAAGTGGATATATAATTTTTCTTAAACTGGTACTTGCTCTTACTAATTCTAGATTTATATTCTCTCCTTGTTTCCGGAAAATTGACACACTGTACCTCAAGTCATGCATTTTGCTGGATACTGCATGTAGTTGTTTACAGTTTTATTTTGAAGTTTTACCAAGCATGTAAGGATGAAGTCTAGTGAAAAACATTGTCCTTAATTCTTTTTTACATTTATGAGCCTAGATCTTTCCTATGACAATTTTCAAGGTTCTGCCTTGGTCTATGTGTTCACAGAGGTTGATCGCTAAGCCCCAATAGTGAGACAGACATTGAACTATATCTTGTATATATATGTCACAAGAGAATATAAGGATCATGTGCTGGGGCCTTTTTTAGAGTTTTGCATTGATTTATTTTGTTCTTTCTCTCTGCTAAGAAAGTCATCTATTTATATCATCTAATGTCAAACTTTTTTGTTCATCGTGTGACATTTTGCCACTTCTATTAATTAAAATATGTTATTTTCTCAGGTTTCTAGCTTCTGCTCGCCAGTTAGCAAAAACTTTGGAGGTGCCTTTAGTTAATGATTTAGGATATACAAAGAGATTTGTAAGGTGTCTTCAGGTATGTGGAATACTACCACTTCTCTCTTCACATTCATTCTGACTTATAAGATTTGATATGGCTTATCTCTTATGTTTCCAGTCTCTGAACTTTATGCTATTTGGTTGTCAGTCAATTGTTATCATTTTGTGCTAACTACTCAGACATGATTTATACAAAAACTTTGATCACCTTCCACATCGAGAACTTTCTGTACTCTTATTACTTTTATTTACTTTTTTTTTTTTTTTTTTTTAAGCATTTTGCCTTATGGGATTTCTCTGGGACACACAACCTGATTACCCGAGTGCATTGATAAAATTAACTTCCATAGTATTGTATACCAAACATCCCACTTAAATCGTATGCCCTAGTTCGTTAAAATGCATGAGTACAATATTGATTGTATTTTTTTATGTAACATGTAAAATAAATTAATTGAATGAGATACAAGAGTTGACCACATTTTGGTGAATGTTGAAGAGACAAGAATTCTTCCTCATGTCTCTTTTAAAATGATCTGAAAACTTAAAATGATCTGTAATTTGTTTTCTAATAAGATAAGTCTTACCCTAGCATAATTCTGTTGACTGTATTATATGTGGTCAATTAATGTTTAAAAATGAGAGATTTCTTTTAAGAATAAAAAATTTAACTACATCTTTTAGATTGTACCAGCAGAAGAAAATGGAATTGCTGAACATTAATAAGTGAGAAGGATTATTGATATTACTGGGGGAGAATACAATTGGACAGCAAAAAGATTGCTTATAAAGGAGAAATAATTCAGTATGTAGAAATTACATGCCAAAACCCTTGATAATAGAGTTAAAGAAAAAAAAAAAAAAAAAAAAAGATGCAAAAAGAAAATTTTGGAAAAGCACCTGATGTGTAATGCAACTAGAATCAATCAAGGGCTTTTGTTTTCTTTTTTCAAACCATAAAGTAGCATGCTTCATGCACTACCAAATCACTTGCAAAAGCAGTGGTCAGTGGATCTGTAACATCTATAAGTATTGTGCGATGTTAAGTTTATTGATGGCATTTCATTAATGTGATTAGATTTAGATGTGGGTTACTGGAATGTTCAATGGTTAAGTGAAATGCTAGTCATGACCAATAAAGTTTGGCACATTGGTACCTATGGTAAGTGTATATTTGAACTGTTGTATATGCTGAAAGATGAATTCTGTTGTAAGTTGTTAGGGTTCTTAATCACATAGAAAGCCGCCAAAAGAAGGATAAGTAATAACAGAAGGAGAAACCTAAAGAGAGAGAGAGGCTGAAGACGCAAGCAAAATTGTAAGACAAATTAGAATGTATGAAGATGACCTGTTTTTCGTAATGGTGCATGATCTGTAGAAAAAAATGAAGAGATGTCTAATAATCTTTTCCTCTATTAGACAATGGCTTCAAGTTTCGTGGGCTAATTTATGCGAGGAAGCCAATTTCTTGTGGGTTAGGTTGGGTTCTCGTGACTCTGCTTATAGAGAACATTATTGCTTTTGGCAAGGGAAAGAAAGCCAAACAAAATAAAGCCAGGATTCTTTGGAAATATTAAATCCTTACTCAGGTAATTAGGCAAGAAAGAAGCAATAGTGCTTTCTAAGATAGCAGAGAGGCAGATTTTAATTGCTTGTGTGATAGAGTCACCTTTTTGGCCTTGCTTTTACAATACTTTCTAAATGCACCTTTTGTCTTTATCCGTCTTAATTGGGAAGGAGTATTGGGTTAATGTTATTTATTCCATGATTTGTTCTGATTCAAGTGTGTAATTGTTGTACTTTCTGGATTATAGACAAAAGCTTTTTGATTGTATATTGTACACATCTTGATACCCCTCACTTTGGACGCTTCTGATTTCTAGGTGGATATTTTGACTAGAGCTGTATGTGTTTTAATCAATGTTCATCTTTCGGTTTATTTTGTAAAGGAACACAAGTTAATTAGGATTATCTAATTAACCTTGAAACCGACTCAAGTAAGGAACACTAAAGGAGAGACTAAATAGGAAACTTCTACTTAGAAAGATTTTTCGAATTCTTGCATCCCCACTGTCCATCCAAGGAGAGCTTCTTCTCATGCAACAAATTTTGATGTCTGCCTAAGTTTGTATTTGTTGGAAGGTCTACTTCAACATCAATGGAGATTTCTATTTCAGATGTGTTCCTAAACTCATTACACAATTTTATTTCTACTGCAAGGAATATGACTTCTAGAAGTATTATTTATGTTTTTCAGTGATGGCAGAATTTGAATAAAAAATTGCAATTCAAATATAGGCCTTTGGAAAGTCTTTTTGCTTGCTTTGTTGACAATAGATGTTAACACTAGAGGTAATTAGGGCTAGGAGGGTTTTATTCCAAGAAGGAAAGTGTTGGCCGCGTGTTCTGCTGTTGTAGTTGTGGCTTGTTCCAGTATTCCAAATTGAGTATGCAATGCAATTTTAAGTTGCATTCAAATCAGTTCACCCATAATTCACTCTTAACTTTTGACACCATGGAATAGCATCATCATCTGTATCTGTAATACTCTTTTTGCTTGGAAGTAAATTTTCATAATCAAAGAGTGGAAAATCTTTCTGTATAGTGCAACCATGATGATGTGCACCTGCAAGATATGGTGTTCACACCAGGCTGCAACTGGTATAAATGTGTCCATAGAGGTCCAACATGGCTGGTATTCATTCATTTTGTTGGGGAAGGATTGAAAGTTTTCTTCAAGTTCCTTGGTTGTCATTATTAGGGTCTCTACCAAATGTTAGGATTCTTTATTTCAATTTTGATGGAAAGAACTGATAGTTGAAAGATAAAAATGCAGTAACAGATTCATATTAGAATAGACTACATATTTATGGTGATATAATGACATGTATTAGAATACCAAATTAACTAGGAAATCAACTTGACTGTTGAATATAATAGAGACTAAATAGAAACTCCATCTTAGAAATCCTAATTTAAGTGGTTGTGTTTTCAATTGCAGTTGCAGTTGAGGATGCAATTGTGATTGCTGCAGAAACCAGTGTAAAAATTGATATATCAGGACAGGTGGATGCTGGTAATTTTGAGTTTTGGCTGGTGCCTGGCGCACTTGGTAAAAGTAGCTAATCCACATGCTTTTTGATGCTTAATCTGTTGAATCAATGTTTGAATGAATTTAACTTAAACAAATTACATCAGATGGGTTCTTTTAACTAATTTAGTTCTTTATGCGTAATTGTCAATGAGTGCTATGGCTGTTGAGGTGCATTCTCTTAAATAGATTCATTGACATGTTTTATACCTGAGGGAATGAATGCGTCATTAATGCTTTCTAGTACTAAATAGATAAGTTTTTATTTAAAATCTTGGGATCTAGGCTTGAACTGTCTAGTAGAGTGCGCTTTAGTTTATAAATTTGGGATTATGATGGTAATAAATTCTATTGAATTGAGAAGATGATTAGATTGCGGTAATCGTTTATTGTTGATATTTTTCTACCCCTTATCATGAGTGAAGGCATTTTGTTAAAATTTGAATTTTCTTATCATGCTAGAAAAATGATTACTTAGCTTAGCTCTTTATTAAGGAATTTATGACTCAGTTATCTTTATGTTTACTTGGTAAATTGCAGATATCAGAGGTGGTTAATAGCATGAAGGATTTGATGGACTGTAGCCAGGAGACAGGAAAGGGACCTATGGGTAAGCTTTACAGATTTCCCCTATTTTCCTGGTTTAGTAGAGTCTTCATTCATATTACATGATTTGTATGATGTCATTTTTATGACAATATTTTCTTTTTGTTCCATGGGGAATAGAGGAGCAGTGGTTTGGAAGGGGATAAACTGAGTCTGAGACTATGTTGGTGCTGGTTTAGAGACTCTATAGAGATTTCAGTTTTAAATAACATAATACTACATTTCCCTAATCAAATGATTGTCGAATAGTGTGGTTGACAACTATAGAGAGAGTATGTTGAACTGGTGATGGTTGTTCAAGAGTATATGTGCCTTTGCGAAGTGCATGACTTTTAATATGACAGTTTAAAATGATCTTCCTCTGATATATTTGCAATGTTTGATTTATTAAAGCTAAAAGAAGAATAACGTAAAAGAGTCGCTGTTAGGAGTTTTGATGGTGTATTTCTCTGCAGGGACATGTATCTGTGTGGTTTATTCATTGTCAGAAGTCATTTTATCTGTTTGATCTGAAATAGGTTGATTACACCAAAAATTAGATTATAAATTGATCCCTCAAGGTCTACTTGGCTAGGGTTCCAAATTGTATGCCATAGATCAAGATACAGAACAGCCCTTGGTCTTGCAAAACATCTATGGAAGAATCCAATTGGTGTGCTGGCGACTTCTTTTTGAAAACCTTCTGAAGCATTAGCAAGGTAAATTGATTCATAATCCAATGCAAAAATGAACAGTAGATGACTAGCTTAGGTCTTGTATGATCTGCTCTCTTTGAATAGTTGGGGTTAGGGCTCTTTCTTTTTAAGGGATTCATGGTTAGACTGGAGATTATTAGGACCACATTGTGAGAGTTGATGAAAATGAACGATGGGGGGTAATCCTTAAGGAGGTTTTAGGACGATCCAGACACAAAGAAAAGAAAGAAGAAAAGGGGTCATCTTGATATGATCCTATGTTCGTTTCCACCCTCCATTGGTGGCGCTCCTGGCTCATGGAGCTACTTATGGCGATAGTTAAAAATGTCAGCTTGGACTGAAGGTTTGCTAGTCTGCAGAAGCAGAAGTCAGGAGTGAATGGATACACTAGTCACCATGTTTTTGTCTTGATCTTAGCCAAGTGACCATGTAACCAGCTCCATTCAGCTGGTCTATGCATGGCCTCTTTGAATTAGAGTGTGATTACCTAATGAAGAAAAATGCAGAAGGGCGTTTTTATCAGTTCTGTGGTAACTAACTTCATCTGATGCCTGCCAAATTCATCAGCCGTGTACTGAATTTTTTCTAAATAGGTGACAAGAGAAACTTTTCTGTACTGTGGGAAACTTACTACTGTCAAATGTTGATGAGCATAACCCAATGTAATGCCTCCCCATTCTGATATCCAAGGCTGAAACCTCGGGTGTCCCGTAATGTCCCGTAATGTTGGTTTGATAAATGGGCTTTTCGACTGGAAAACCTTTCTCAAAGGTTCTTAGTTTTGCTTCCAAGCAAGGAATTTTCTAAGTGTGAGCATACGATTGCCCAAGATCAGTAGAAAACTTGGCCATACTGACTATGATTATTTATATGACAATTGGCATGCCTGTGGCTCATCATCAACTTCTTCCTAGGAACTTAAGATCTATTAAAGAATAGTCTTCTTAGAAATCCCTTGATCTTGGCTATTTGTTCACCGAGTTTCTACATTGGGGGCTGTTTCTAAACCCTACAATCTTGGTAGACAGGAAATTTATGCACTATAATATCCTAGGTAGGTGGCTCTAAGAGATATGAACCTTTTTCCTTTAAGTTGGAATCAAGGATGTTAACCACTTAACTCATTCTTGGGTTCTAAAGTTGATTTATAGCAAGCAATGTGTGATGATTTTCCTTTGAAAGCCTGAGACAGTGAACGAGCTTTAGAATTGGGGATCTGCACCAGTGCTTTTCCTAGAAGGAAACTGTTTCATAGTTAACTGGATAATGAGCTTGCACCTCACCACCATGCTTCTGTAGTTTACAAGTGCGGTTTCGTTTTCCTGGGGTCTGTGCATTTAGGATGCGTTAATTACTCTGCTTCAGCCACTATTGAGCTTGAATCCCCTCCTTGGTAAACCTTCTTTATTATTGCCAGATTTCTTATTTGGGGCTGTTTCTGAACTCTACAATCTTGGTAGACAGGAAACTTACGCACTATAATATCCTAGGTAGGTGGTTCTAAGAGATATGAACCCTTTTCCTTTTAAGTTGGAATCAAGCGTGTTAACCACTTAACTCATTCTTGGGTTCAAAAGTTGATTGGTAGGAAGCTATGATGATTTTCCTTTGAAAGCCTGAGACAATGAACGAGCTTTAGAATTGGGAATCTGCACCAGTTCTTTTCCTAGAAGGAAACTGTTTTCTAGTAAACTGGATAATGAGCTTGCACCTCACCAGCATGCTTCTGCAGTTAACAATCGCGGTTTCGTTTTCCTGGGGTCTGTGCATTTAAAATGCCCTCCTTGGTATACCTTCTTTATTCTTGCCAGATTTCTTACGTTATTGAAGCGGATTTCCAAGCGGGATGTGATGTAATGACATACTAATCAGTCTTCCGATTTTGTTAAGAAAATTAACAGTATAGTTTTGCCCCATGAAAAACCTTTTTGATAACTTTAAAATTGTAGCTTTTCTTATTGGACATGAGTGGCTCTTTTATCAGTATGCTTTTTCTTCTCTGTTTTATAATTATCTTAGTAGAAGTATTATAATTGATTACTGTTTATTGGTAATCGATGCCCTGTTCTCTAGTCAATATCATGTTAGATAGTTGGATATTTCCTTTGCTCTGGATGTGTCTAGATTGGTGTTTAGGTACAGTTTCAATCTTGGTACAGATATGATGATTAATTACTGATTAGTGCGTTAGTTAACTATATTCTAATTAACGACTTCTTCTTGTTCAGAAGCTTTGGCCCAATTTCCTCGGAGGAGCAGCACAGATCCATCATCTGTGGTTCATTTACCTCAACGGCCTGAGGAGCAGCAACAGGTTATAGGACAAAATTTGAACAATGATCATCATTCTGTACAGGCAAGTGTTGTTCGGCCTTCTACAAGCAATGGTGCTGTGAGTGTAAACAACTCCCATTGTTTGACATCCACTTCTGGTTCTAACACGGCCATTGTCGGGCTTCTTCGCCAGAATTCCATGAATTCTCGAATTGAAAACCTGATGAATAATCCCACCAGTCCCTATGCTGGGACCGCTGTTCAGATTCCATCTGCTGGGTCCTCAACTACCATGCCAGCAGCTCAAACCAATCCTCCTTCCCCTTTCTCATGTACAACGCCATCCTCTTCTAATAACCCCCCTCAAAGTTCTCAAAATGCTATAGCAGCATCAGCCACTACAAATAGCATCAGTCCAGTGAATCCATCAGCACAAATCCCAGTTCAGCTGCCATCTCAGTCAAATGGGGTTGATCCGAATGAATCCGAAAACTCTTTTGAGAAGGTTATTCAAGAAATATTGAGTTCAACCCAATTAAGCACAGCAGGTGGCACAGTTGGTTCTGCACAGAACAACATGAGCACAGTTTGTTCTTCACAGAACAACACGAACACTGTTGGTTCTGCACAGAACAATATGAACACAGTTGGTTCTGCACAGAACAATATGAAGAACGTTAATGGGGTGATGCAGTTTAGTCACAATTCAATCAGTAACGGCAATTGCCTAGTGGGTAATGGTACACTTAATACCAATTCAGGCATCAGTAATGGAGGCCTTGGAAACTTGAGTGGTGGGGGGATGGGTCTCACTGCCACTGCTTCTGGAATAAGAGGTGCCCGTGGAAATAACTTTGGGGTGTTGAATGGAAAGGCAGGTATGATGCCTCAAGATGCTAGCATGAACCATCAGCAACAGGAAATGGCCAACCGGTTTCGTAATGGCCTTGGAGCTGTAAATGGCTTCAATAATCTCCCATCTGAATGGAAATTGCCCTGAATATCTATCATGTGGTGTTGTGTTCGTATATTGTGTTCATGATGAAAGTTGAAAGCTGCATATATACTAATGGAGTTGTAGTGGTGGTGAAAAAAGGGGTTGTGCTGTGTTTAGGCTTGCTTGGTACCATGTGAGGAGTTTGATGGGTTTGGTCTTACAGGTACAGTGGTTTTCATATAGCTGCTACTAATGGTTATAGGAAAGGAAATTATAGAGCTTAGTGGGTTTCGAGTAGAAAATTTACATTATGTTGTCATTTAGTTTGCCTTGTTTCTTCCTTGTGTACTGAGAGTGTACCTTGTTTTCAAAGTTCCCTTTTTGAAGGTCTGTTACTGTGTAATGTATATAGTTTCCCTATGAAAGTTGTTCCTGCAAAACAGCTTCAAAATGGGAACTAATTTCCAGGCTTTTCCTCGGTGGAATGGAACCAAAAGTTTATAGTTATAATGAAATGCTATATTAGTTTATTTTCACTTGGCTGATTCTCTCTCTCTCTATATATATATATAATTTTAGATTAAAGAAGAGAGTAACCTTGTTTGCATTTGATCAACTTGTCTCTTTTTCTGGTCACTGATTTTCCGATTGCTTGGAAGGGACAAGAGAAACATCTTTCTTCCAGCCATTTTAATTTCCAGTCTTCTTAGTAGGAGTTGAACCCATATGAAACACTATCGGTCAGAGGAAAAAAAATAAAAAAACAAACAAACACCGAATGGATCATATAGAATTCCCAAGAAATTCTTTGATTTTTTCAGAATGCTTATTCATCTCTCTTTCACATTCCGTGAATAGCCGAGATATTGAGGAATATCTAAAAAAGCATTTTAGGACTCATTTTTATTCTATCTTTGTTTGTTCTGTTTGAAGAAAGGAAGGAGCCCAAAGAATTGATTAAGAATGCTTCTGTAATAGTGGTTTAAAAGAGGAAGTCTTTAGTAGAAGAGACTAGGGGTGAAATCGAGTCGAGTATCTAGGTATTCGAACTCGACTTAGTTTCTACAGTACCAAGTTTCAGTTTGGTCGAACCTGATCAATTAAGTTTGAACCACTATATTAAAACCTGGATCGGACTGGTTGGACCGACCAGTCTAATGGGGACTTAGCAGCTTCTTCGGCCCGATTTAGGTTTTAGGGGGGTTTGTGCTATATTTCAAAATTGTAGGGACTAATTGCATTTTTAGGGGTATTTTTGTAATATTTCAAAACTTTAGGGACTATTTTTTTTTGGGTATTTCTTAAATAATTAAAATTTTAGGGAGTAATTTAAAATTTTAGAGGTATTTTTGTAATATACCAAAATTTAAGGGACTAATTTGTAATTTTTTAAAATAACTTTGTTGCTAATGTCATCGGTCCAATCGGTTGGACCGGTCGACTTGTGACCCGGTCACCTTGCCGGGTCTTATAATGGGTCGGGTTTTAAAACAATGGTTCAAACTTGAACTCGGTACCTAAAAGTTGAATTCGAGCTCCGTTAATCAAGTTTCAGTCAAACTTTTCGAGCTTAATCAAGTTTTAGTCGAGCTTTTCGAGTTTACTTATGCTTAATCGAGCTTTTTGTAAAGTGATCAAACTCAACTCATGGGATTATTCGAGCTACTCGAACTTGAACTCGACTCCACTAATGCCGAGTCGAATTTGAGCCAAAGCCAAGCCGAGCGGCTTGCTCGGTTTTCACCCCTAGGAGAGACACATGAATCATTGAGTGTTTATAGGTCAAGTGTGTTTAGGGTTGGTTAACAAATCAAGCTGCTCGCGAGTCGGCTCGGCTTGGCTAGACTTTGGCTCATTAACTGCTTGATTCGTATGGTTTCGAGCTAGCTCGGCTTAGTTCGTGAGAGAGAATGAGCCGAGTTCGAGCCTACCTTGCCTCTACTTGTTAGGCTTGTGAGCCGAGCCTGACTCGAATAAGTGGGGGTTTTTAGGAGTTTACTGAAGTATGGGGGATTACATTGAAATTTTCAAAACAAAAAGTTTTCAAAAATGACAAAGAACCCCCCGATTTTAAAATTCCTAAAATCGGCGACATTAAATATTTGCGTAAAATCAAACCAAACCCAAAAATTGTCAACACATTTTCCAGCCGTCTCCGATGTACCTCGTCGTCACTGTCAATACCATCTGCTTCGCCGAAGTGTTGTCGCAGACTTGTTGCCATCAAACCCATCTACCCCTTCAACTCTCGTCGTGATCGTCATGAAACGCTGAAAGCCATCTGCTTGTTTTCCTTTTCTGTCCTTGCCGTAAAACCCAAATGAAGTAAATATAATGGTTTGAAACAAGACAAGAACAAATGAAGTAAATATAATTAGTATAGAAGAGAGGATAAACATAAATCGAAGTCCCAAAAATTGAGTGAAAATGGTTGAAATGCAGTTGAGATGAGAATATTTTACATAAGAGTTGTTCTGTTTGTTTACTGAGAATGTGTAGAATAATATATGTGTGCTACGTGGCCGTCCTTATACAAATTTGTTGCCAACACAACCATTCACAACCACAAGACACCCACCCAACAAATAAATATTTAAAAAAAAATTGCTTTTTTTCGAGCTGGCTGGAACTTGGCTCGTTTAGCCGGCTCGCGAGCCAAGCTCGAAATCCTCTCAATCTCTAACGAGCCGAGCCAAGAAATCTGCGGCTCAGCTCGTTTTTGCCTCCCATTTCATGAGTCGAGCTCATTTAGCAGAAAACTCGGCTCGGCTCGACTCGTGAACAACCCTATGTGTGTTGATATTGTTAGTGTATGTGCCCTAAAACTAGTGATAGATGTAAGGTTTAAGGAAACATTTATATATAAACTTTGTAATATTTTATCATTAATAAAATGACGATTATTCTATGCTACTTTGAGTCATCTATATTTAATTAAGTTACGTATGTCCCTAAGCTTGTTCTGGAAAGAATTCTATTTTCAACAAGTTTGAGAATATGAATATCAGGATTCTTTCATGTAACTCGCTCTTAAGTATGTTCCTGATCAGATGTGATAATAATCGGGGGCAACATTATCGCAAGACCAGCATTACTGTGTGCCGCCATTGATTGGCATGAGATGTTGATAGTTGGGTGATGAGACTCATATCATAAGGGCACGAATAATGAGGTGATTTATTAGAGAATGAAGCATCGAATGTGACCGCTGGACGATTGATCACATGGGTATAATATCTTCAATCAATGATCATCGTTATGTGCATTAGTGTCACTTTATCCCTAGACTTGAGATGCGATCATGTCTTGTGCGTGGGAGCTTGTGGTTCTTCAGTATATTATCGCTAGATTGTTTACATCTAGTGTGTAGTGCTTGTTGGTCATGAGTTAATCATGTATAGAGTCATATGCGTATTCAATAAGGAATCCGATGACTCGGATATTACAAGTTTGAGTGTTCCAAGGGATCAACGAATGTGGAGGAAGTCTTTGGCCAAAGCATTTTTGTTTTATGAATAGTTTCATAGAAGCACAATTCCACATTTTAAGATGATTCGAATTATGTGATCAAGTTAGGGATTTGACTATACCATGGTCTGCACTTGATCGGAACACGACATCGGAGGGAATGAGGTGACATGACTGAAACACTCAATTTAACAGGTTCATATGATCCCACTTCATTTATTGATTGGGGGCCATGATATACTGTTAAGTGTCACTCATGGTCTGTAAGGAAGATGGATATCAAGAGTTGATATTTACCTTACTACCAATCGATAAATGAACCTAGAAATGTCACACACATTATGGATTTCTAAGCTTGATGGGAATAAGGGATTTTCTTATTAAAGAGTTAATGAGGATATTAAAGTTTCCAGAAGTCCTAATGGACTAATTAGTAGAATTGGTTAAAAGGGTATTTTTGTAATTGGATAAATTAATTAGTTGTTGATTAATTAGTTAAATTAATTAATTAAAAATTAAGTCCAAATAAGGAGGCTTTATAAATGGATTTAATAATTAAATTTGGACTTAAATTGGGCTAGCACTCAAATGAGCCTAGGTTTAGTTATTAGTTAATCCATGAGAATACCTTAAATTGGAATAAGATATTCTAGGGATTGCCTACTAATCTAATTTTGGTGGCTATTTAAAGGAGGCTTAGGGTTCATTATTTGATAAGGAGAGAAAAATTATAAGAAAACCCTAGCCACCGATATTCTCTGCCATCCCTAGGAAGAAGTTGTTCTTGATTCTATTATAGTGGGTTAATTCCCATTGGCGAGAGATCCTGTGTGTATCGATCTAGAGGTACCACACTTGGGGTACTTAGTGAGGATTCAATAAGGAGAAAGAAAATAGCAAAAGAGTCGGTAACCTTTTCTTACTCTTGTTTTGTATTTCATGTCTTTGATACATATATACATGCATATTTATTTGCATTAAATCATTATTACCTCGATCATAACGGCACAATTGGGGAGGAAGTTTTAAAATCCGGGCAACCGAGCGCTTCCGTTAAACGTTTCATTCCCCAACAAATATGACTTGCACATATTGAACAAGTGTATATAGTCTCGTTTTAATGAAGACTTTTCTAATTCACAATGTCATGGTAACTAAGTGGAAAATTAAAAAAAAAAAAAAAAAAAAACAAAAAGAAACGATGAGACGAAAATATGTATAAGAATCTCACTTGAATTTAGGGTTTTGTTATCCAAATGTTTGAGAGAACATTGTTATTTGCTACTGTTTTTTTGAAATGAAATACAGTTTATAATTTATAGTAAAACCTTATGGGTATTTTGTTTAATTGATTGTATCTTTTGGAGTTCTACAAGAAGTATTTTAAGATAAAAAACTCATTTACACTAAAATAACCAAACTATTACCAAATAATCATTCACGAATAACCAAATTCCTAATTCCATGAATCTAATAATACTTTAATAGAGGATTTTCATTTATAGTCTATACGTGTCACAATAAATATCACAATTCTTAAAATATCATATTAGTAATATTATGATTACTATCAATCCAATCACAATCATAAATAAACATCATATTCTTTCTCAAACCAATTCCATGATTCTTACTAGTCGATAACATTATCGTCCCAACACCTTGATCACTTCGTGCTTCCATATATTTCTCTATGGAAGCAGTGAAGGTAGACTTCAGGATAGCCCCAATAATACTTTCTTAGAGCAACACAGTTGGGATGCTTCTGATTCCATATTGAGTGGCTAATACCATCAACCTAGTACATAAGGCGGGAATAATCCTAATTTCTAAGACACTCTACCCTATGGTGTTTAATAATCATTGTGTTCTCACATTCTCTTAATCTCCCATTCTCTCGTAATCATGAATTGGTTCTCACCCCTATATTTATGGGTAGTATATGGGACATCCAATTTCTAATAGGATTCATATTTTAATTCCTAATAGTGTTAGAGTAGGTGTCTTAGAGTCATTCCATTTTGTAAATGTTGACTCTTGTAAATAATGTTTATAATTAATAAAGGCA